TTAAGAAGTTTAATAAATTCAATAAAACTCTATCAGTTGCCAATGCCAATATCATTAGCTTTGGAAGCCATCTTGAATTGGGTTGACTCCAAATGTTAATCTGTCACAGATGTACTTTTTGAAAGATAAAAACCATCCAGTGGTCCATGAGGTATCTTGCTAACAGACAGACACAGTTCACTTCAAATATTTAACAGCAAATTTTTAACCAAAGATCTTGTTTAACCTGTTAGCACTCAGAATACGTGTTGGCTATGGGATAAATGGATCTTTGAAGGGATCCAGATCTTGAGGAGCCATTTGTTTCATACACAGGTTCAAAAGAAACGTTCAGCTTTGAACAAGTGACATCATCACTTGGCGAAATACGTCATCACGTCATACTACAAGGAGTAAAAATTTAAAACTAGAGACGACTCTTTACTCAGTTCCTATCGTTCACTGTAAGGAGCCATTCAAAAGATTGGCATCGTTCGCGAATGTCACATCTCYAGTATTGGGGATCAGTCTCTGCTATTGCAACGCCAGATTGTACACCATATCTCTACAATTAATTCACTTATAACAATTATCTTGTTTTGTAAGGTCGGATGTCTCTGGTAGACGTCTTAAATCAAGTTRACTCCAAATGTTAAACTGATGAACGTTCAGTGATTACTTTCTGAAAGTGTTATTAAAATTTGTCAGCTCGGAGGAGCCTACCTGTAAAGGAATTCGAAAAGCTACGTTGTCTTCTTCAAACTAAATAATCATTAGAGTTTTAAATAATTTTTAAAACAAGTTTAGTAGGTCCTCTGGATGAGTTCTTCTCTGTTGAATAAAAAATTTGCCGGTAAGCTCAGRCTTTTAAGCAGTGCTTCCACATGRTGGACAAACAAGTTTGACAAGGACAATCAAAACTGTTAGTTTACGTGCAAAAGAGGACCATCAGCCTAACAATYGTCCAGAGGACCTACTCAGCATTTGTTTTTATTTTTCTGCCTGGATTATTGAGATGCATCAGGACATTTGAGTTTTGAGATTTCATTTCTAACATTATCTTATAAACAAGAACTAGRCTGACATTGTTTATGAAAGAATGACACTTGTAGCTTTCAGGGCTAAAATGTTGGTATCTTTCACAATTTATACACACAGATAATTAAKATGTGTAATGTAATCAGACTTCTAAAGAGATATTTCCTTGTGTGTCTTAGATGTGAGTTCTTAATCCAGTCGAGAGGACAGGAGTATATCACCAACATACAGGATGCTCATTTCCATCTGGGTGACACTGTGGTAAGAGTTTTAATGCTCAGGATGACATCTATTAGAAATAATGAATAATAGTTAGCCATGAATTGATTTACAGATTTTTATTTGTTTCATTGTAAATAAAATAAAAAAATAAACTTGTTTTTCAGGGTGGCTCACAGACTTCCACTGGAGGAGATACTGGTTCCAGAAACAGTACGTTAATTTAAAAAACACYGGCAGTATTCATTAAATATCAGCAGCATCAGCAAACTATAATCCTGTCAAGAAGCCACGAGTATAAAATATAAGGATGTCCTGCTCCGATGCCTGTAATTCTGGCTGTAAATCCTGTCAAATCAAAATGTCTTGTTAGTTCCCACTGAGGAGAAAAGGATGATCTAACATGTGGAGTTACACTGCTGGCTGCATAATTGAGGGGGGACAAAAAGGCCGCAGGCTCCTGACGGAATAATTTTCACTCAGTCCTCGAGTGTAAAAGTCAGATTTGATGCATGAGAYGCACACTTTATATGAGCTTTGTTTAAATTTTCAATTCAGCCACAGAGAAGAACCAAAAAAAAGCCTACGGTTTAAAGCTGGTAATATCTCGACATATCAAATTCATTTTTAGTGTGACCTGGTTTGGTTTGTGTAAAACAAAYCGATCAGTTGTTCATTCTCTTATCTTCCTCACGTCCTCCAGGTTTGGTTGGAGGTCGGGGAGCTTCGTCCGCCATGCTGTCTCCTGCGGTTCAAAGTGTGCTCCAGATGGGCTTTGAGGTGAGCCTGGTGGAGAGTCTAGTCCAGACCAAGTACCTCCTGACAGGTCAGCACTACATGTCTGTGTCTGAGCTGGTTACTGATGTCCTGCAGGCAGAGGAGGAGGACAGACAGAGGGAGCAGAGCAACACAGGTAACACTGTTGGACAAGGAACTAATGTGGTTGTTTCTATTCTATTCTATTCTATTCTATTCTATTCTATTCTATTCTATTCTATTCTATTCTATTCTATTCAGCATTTTAACAGAATATTTTGTGATTTAAAGCACCTGTGACATCAAATTTATGTAATAATCATGAACGTATTTTTGGAAAGATAACATTGATAACATAWATGTTTTYAATTCATGCCGCTGAGATGAACAGTTGYTGAGATTTTTGCATATGAAGTAACAGGAAGTGATGYCAAAGGTCTGCATGTGGACAGAGCATTTCTGCAAAGGCCGACAACACCGGCTGTAGAGAAGAATCTGGTGTTTCTTTAGATTATTTTAATCACCATCATAGAGAGATGAGAAAGAGTCATATAGTTCAAATAATATTGTTTAAATAAACAAAAACTAGGGAGTTCCCTTTCTTAAAGAGTTCYCCATTGATGTAACTTCACTTTAGCTGTGCCAAGTTCAAAAGAAAATATGCCAATTATGTGACATAATATAGGTAAAATCATGTGTATTTTGCGAAGTTTCTTAAATATAAATATATTTTCTTTAACTTTTTGCATTTCATGGAAATGGATGTCACAGGCAMTTTAAATACATAATTTAAGTTTCTGCTTATACTTTTTTTTATTTCTACTGCTATTATCCTTTATAGTTCTTTGCTAAACATTGAAACAATGRTTTTCTTTTTTTTAATCATTTATGGAAACAAGTATYTTTTGCTTTAAAATGCTTCASGAATAAGATTTTCCAGAGATCATTTGGGATACAGCTCTWTATAAAATGATCACAACTCTTCTACGTAAAAAAGAAATGAAGCTTTGTGCAACAAGTCCAAGAAGTCTGAGATTTAGTTTCACTCAATAACCAAATGCTCTAACATTTTGGTGACRGAATTCAAACTTCTTTCATTTTTAATGTATAATCTGTTTGAATACTGCTCTACACAACAAATCAACATGTATTATTTTTGGGGGGGAGGGGGGGTTGATTATTGAGGCCAAACATTTCAAAAACACTGTGAGATCATAGAAATTTATTTTTCAGATATCAGTTTTCTCTTGAAAAGAAAGTGTTTCAGGAATGTTGTTCTGCACATGTTCCAATGAGCAGAGCAGTGTTTGAAGTAGAAAAATGCTGAATTTTACTAAAGGAAGTCAAACTAATAAGACTTGAGCTGCCTTGCTCTGAACTTCTGTTACAGACATTATMCTTTAGGAGGTGCAACATTTCACTAAAACTACATCAGTATTAAAAATGGCTGTTGGACTCTCCTCCTAAACACATCTCAAAAACCTTCACAAGATCAGGACCTGAACATCATCAAAAAAATTATTTGAATAAACATTAAATAAAAGAACAAGAAACTTTTTTTTGCAGGATGAACCAAAGAGCATCCACTGATCGACTCTTGGCTCTTCAAAAAGCTCTGATAAGAGTCTTTGAAGTGCCGAACATGAAGATATTTCAAACTTTTTGGTTTAGTTTCTTTGCCTTTTTGCTTCTTTTAAACTGTGGAAACTATAAATCAATCATCAGGCATAAAATATTTAAATGAACATGTGATGTTTAATTGAATGGGTTTTTTTAGGGGGAAATCAGGTCACTTTGCACAAACTTTGCTTCAAAATAACAGAATATTTATATGCAGTTTGCCACAGTTTGCATGACACTCAGATCATCAAACAACCATAACCAGCTCAAACAGTTAAAATGGGCTTTTATTGTGAATATTTGATTAAAAACGATATCCAAGAGAACCTGATTCTGTTTTCCTTTTCACGCACAAGAACAGATTTGTTCTAAATTCAAGCTTCAATAAATAAATAAGATTTTTAATTATTTAAAATAGTAATTTTAAAAGTGGAACGTCTCTTTTTCTTGTGATTTAAAAACAAAAGTGTTTCAGGCTGCTAAGTGTCTTTTTTTTTGTGCGAGCTTCAGAACCAGAGACGAGGCAGGGATCCAGCGCTGAGAACACGAGGACACCAATATCAGCCCGAGAAAAAGGTCAGCCTGCTTTTAAAGCGTCTTTATATGGAATATGGATGAATCATTACTCAGTCCAGCACTCAGTGTCAGCGTCAGCATGCTTTCCTGTTTTCTCTGCAGTGAAGGATCCCGGTCCCGAGGAGCTGCTCAGGCAGCTGCAGGAAGAGAGGACCTGTAAAGTGTGCATGGACAAGCTGGTGTCCATCGTTTTCATCCCCTGTGGTCACCTGGTGGTCTGTGGTGACTGCGCYGCCAGCCTGCGTCACTGTCCCATCTGCAGAGCCATCATCAGAGGCAGCGTTCGGGCGTTTTTGTCGTGATCCTGCAGTGAAAAGCCACTCCTTTACAAACACATCAGCTCCTGAGTTTCCACTGCCCTCAAAGAGTTCCGGCTGCTTGCCTTTGTCCTATTTTACTAATAAATTTTCTATAATACACACTTTTGTTCCACTCAAGCATCATTGCCATGGCATTTTTTATAAATATACTTACATAAAACACAAATACCTTAAAAAAACTTCTCRAACTCATTAAAAGATCACATTCTTTTATTAACAAACACCTATTTACAAGAACACAAAGCACAGTTCTGGATAGATACAAACAGGTCACACGTGTTCGGAGCAAAACAGAAAACAAGGTTAACATTTCTACTTATAAGAGAGAATTATCTACAGAAAGATGGACRTTTTATTTCAGTAAACTCTATCAAATACACAACCAGAACTGAGATTTTAAGAAACGTCAGTATTGCACTGTGAGGAAGACTAGTTTTTTTTAACACTTTAGTAGAATTTTACTACTAATATTGATTATGTCACAGTAATGAGGTGCTTTGTTTTTCTCATCTGCTTCGCTTACAACCARCTTGTTCAGTTCAAATATTGATATTATTGCACCTCTCCAAAACACATTTGACCAATCAAAGCAGAGAAGTTTTGTGACATCAGCCAGCAGGAGATGATTTTCAACATCAGTGCAGTTTAAAAGCTGCTCGTCTGGCAGTGAAGTACGCTTTGAGGAATRTGATACTCAGTGTGTTGGTGCAGTTAGAGAGGGGAGAAGAAATTGAATAGATAACCCTGATTTAAATCAAGTTGGGATGTTGTGTAAAATGTAAATAAAAGCAATATGGTTTTACAACCCAATAAACCTCTGCCTGTATTTACTCCTGAGAGAGTCAGACTCTTTTTATACCACGTCCTCCTACAGAGCTTTTGCCAAATAATAAAGTAATTTGTTGCAAAATGCTCCTCCAGTTGTTTCCACTTATTTTTACAGCCATGTTTTGCCTCGGTCCAAGTTTTTAAAAATGTGTTGCTGCCATCAAATTCAAAATGACTTATTTCTTAGTTTGTCTTTACCTGCTTTTCCTTTCTAGGTTGCTGGTGCTCATGTTCAGCAGGTCGCTGTGCGAGAGGCAGAGGACACCTTGGACATGTCTGCAGTCCATCACAGAGACAAACAATCATTCACACTCTCAGCCCAGGCACAGTTTACAGTTACCAGTTTTTCTCAGTTCAAACGATAAGTTCACCATGTTCCATTGTGAATAAAATATGGTTTRAGATTTACAAATTGTTGCATTCTGTTTTTATTTGACATTTTACACCACGGTCCAACGTTTTGGACTTGGGGTTGCATTAGAACTAAAATATTGACCTTAAACTCAAAAGACATATTGAATGATGTAGAATAAATGTGCCAGCAGTGGAAAAACACACTTTAGCAGGTCTAACTTCTCCATTTTAAACACTTTTATTTTCTAACTCCAAATGTAAAGAGTTTAAATTTGCAGTTTTTTTCACCYTTTGACCCACAGAATAACAGCATCAGAAACCTGAACCCCCCAACTTAAGTGATAAACATTGGTATCAGGTCAAGTAAAACATAGTAACAATATTTATTATGCTACTTAAATACACTAACCTCACACTTTTGTTATAACTAAGACCAAAAATAATATTGTTCGTTGTCATTTTTAATGTCATTAATTCAAAAAATATTTTCAAGACCCCACCTTGATGTTTCAAGACCTCACTGGGTCTTGACCCCAAATTTGGGAACCACTGGTTTAAATGATGGAAATGTAGAAGCAGATGACGAGCAGACCCCTGCACGTGAACCTTTTGAACACTAGAGGGCAGTGATGATTCACAGTCACAATAAGGCAACAGAAGATTTGAAAGACATTTACTGACAGGTATMCAAAAAGTGCAATGATTCAGTTTGAGTATGTTCGATCAACTGTAATGATGCTGGAAAATAAAATAAAACAATAAAAAGYRCCAGATTAAGTCAGCAGATGTTTCCTGTAACTTGATTAACTAGCTGTAAATTAAAGACTCCAGTTTTGCTACTTTCTTTAATACTTTAAAGCTATAGACAAATACAATACAAATGTTTTTTAAAAAAAAACATGCTACAATCAATCAAAGTCAAGGTTATAAGTGTGTAAAAAAGAGAGATTTGAAGCAGGAGACACAGCTCTAGTCTTATTGTGTGCAACCATTTCAGTTGTTTAAGTTAAAAAGATGGTGTGTAAGTTTGCTCAAGTGTGTGTAATGATCGCTCGTCTCCCAGGAGCTGTTGTGTCGTTAGATGTGAAGTGAAAACAAAGCTTTCAGCACCTGAAACTTCAGAAATACTGACTTTTTCTTAGATTCTTTTTTTTTTTTGTTCTGAAAACAGACACAACACAACTCTAGACCAAAAATAAAAACCTAACACCCGCATGCCAATTTCTTGTGTTTGAACACCTTCTGCAGTCTTAAGTCACACTTCCAACTCTGAATTTCCTTATTTACATTTTTCTATTTTTGGGCCGATTTCCTCTGTAGTATCGGTGCTTTTGTTCCCTCCCCACCCMTCTCTATGTCTTCTCCCTTGGCTCTTCCTGCTTTGCTTCTGTATTTATGCACACAGATCCTAAAGTAAACAGCTCATTCCACAGACTCCACTGTAAATCAGCACTACGGCCAAGATCTGAGCCGAACCTGCAATAATGTGCCAGATCAGAAACTGGTGACAACCATGTGAACTGGGAACTCCATTCTTACAACGTATTTGTGAGCTGTATGTTTGATACAGTAAACAGCAGGAACTTGTAGCAAAAGATCACAAAAAAAGGAAAAAAAAAAAACAAAAATACACAAATCCTCCCTAAATACACCCCTTTGTTTATGCTAATTCGCCCCCTCATTCCCAAATCCAGACACAATGGACTCTTGTGGAGAAACTCTGGCTTTTTCTGGGAAGCACACCAGTAAAATGACATGTTTAAAGTTCTGAAACCAAGATAGGGAGGAACACCAGACGGTTTGCGTGTGAAAACTGCCATTTTGGCTCTGTRGGAATTTGCTGTATCATCTCCCCTCTCTGGGTGTTTTCCTTCTTTTATTTACGTAGACCTGGAAGAGATTAAAACAAAAATGAAAAGAGAGAGTAGAGAGGTTAAGCAGTCCTTGGGTTACACACACACACACACACACACACACACACACACACAC